CTCGTCGGATGTGCACCGGCGCCTCTGGAGAGAGTCGGTGCCCAATCTGTCCCCGGTGCCGTTCAATGACTGGCCCCTTCCTGGACCGCCCACGGTGGATTGGTGCGTGCAGTTCGTGGACCGCAAAAGCGGAGGCCCTGACGACCACCGCCGCTGGTGGGTCGGGCAACTTCGCCTTGAGGGGTCCGACTCCGGCGTCCAAGAACATGATCATGGGATGAAGGCTTTCCAGTGCTTCGGGGAGTGCGACTAGATCGGCTTCCCAAACTGGTGGGGCTCGCCTCAGGCGTTGCCAGCTGATGGAGTATCACTACGAGAAGAAGGGCAAGGCTGGCGCCAACAAAGAGCAGGGCGCCTGGTTGCCGCGTGATGAGTCAGCCTTTTCCACGGGCTCCCACAGGCTAAGCGGGGAGGTGATGATCCGCCCGGAGTTGGTTGAGCGGGTGTCCAAAGATATCGAGAAGGACGCCCGCGCGGCGAAGCAGATGCGGAAAGCGCGGGATGAGGCACGCCTCTCGCGCAAGGATGGCCGAGTTAACCTCGCGGCGGAGGGCCGACCCCGACCCTTCCGCCCGCCCGCAGCAGGGGGGCACCAGCGGCGTCGTCGTGGTGGTGCGCTTCACGCTGAAGGCTTTTTCAGCGGGCCCAAAGTGGACGAGTGCAGCGTCTTCCGGGGAGTTGCGCGCCGCGCAGAGGCCCGCTCGCGCGCCGCCCGGTGGCGGGTGGGCGCGGCCTTGGCCTCGAATGACCTGGGGGGCTCTTTTTGCAAGGGCGTTGGGTCCAAGGCCTCCGCCCGCTTCCGGCCCATCTCGCACGACCTCGGCATGGCTGGCGCGAAGGCGGCGTCGATCGCCAGGGGGGCTTCCAGCTGATCGCACCGGCCAAGGGGCCTTCAATTGGCTCCAGGCGAACCGCTGCTTCGATGGTGCTCCTGTGGCGGTGGCGCCGATGGATATCGGCTTGTCTGACCTTGGCGGGGTCGACGAGCCTGTTGATTTTGACCAGCTGCCGCGCGATGACCCTTCTGAGGTCCGCGGCTTCGTGGGCGATTATCTCCCGCCGAAGGATCGGGCGGAGGGGCGTCTGGGTCTCGAGGGGGCCCCGCGCCGACCGTGCGCGCGTTCACACTTGTGCCGCCCTCGTGTGTGCGAGCATCTCCTCACCCTGGTCAAGCAAAGGAATGTCCGAGCACTCGCTCGGGGTGGCCGAGACTTGTGGATTTGCTTCGTTTGGAAGAAGAACGGGAAGCAACGCCTCATCCATGATGCTCGCATGTCCAATTGTTGGTTGAAAGATCATCCGAGGTCCCGTTTGGCCTCTGGTGATTCTTTCTCTCGTTTTTTTTGCCGCCGCCGATCTCATTGTGGAGCTTGGTCAGGCTGATGTGCAGGATGCGTTTTATCAGCGTGCGATGCCCGCGATTCGGCCTTTCCTTGGGCTGTCGCCCGTCTGGGCGGGCAGGGTCGGAGTGTCCGTCGCGGTTGAAGGGTCGGAAGTCTCTCCTAGTATCCTAGTACGCATGTTGATCCTCGGGGTTGCGTTCTCGCGGTGGAGTGGGCTGGCGCCCTGGACTGGCGTCGGCGCGTGCTCGAGGACGTCGGTCCTCGGGTGCCCGGGCTTTGACCGGAGTCCGGGATCCACGATCGCGGGCCCCCTTTTCTCTGGGCCTCTCGCGCTGTTCGCGCAGATGACTTTGTCGCCCTGTCCTGGGTTCCAGGGGGGGCGTGCGACGCGTCCGCGGGCGTGGCCGAAGCTTCGCGCGGCCGGGGTGCGCGCCCACCTTGCAGAAGCTGGGCTTGGCGGCGAGGACCCATGGGTGTTTCTTTCTGCGACGAGCGGCCAGTGGTGTGCTGAGGGGCGGCGTGTGTGGAGGATCCGTCTGGCTCTCCAGCACGCCCACGGGCGTCTTCGACTCTCGGGTAGAGATCTGGAGGCCCTCGTGTGCCATTGCGCGCGCGTGTTCCTGCTGAGTCGCGAGCTGCTCTCGTGCTTCGATGCGGTGCGCGTGCGCGTGCCTATCTTGCCGTCGGTGCGAGCGGGCGCCACTGTGGGGTGTTGTTCGGAGAGAGCTACGCTGGGCCGCCCACCTCACCTCTCGGCTTCCGTCTGCCCCGTGATCGTCTTGAGCGACGCGTCGGAGCGGGGGCGCTGGGTCGCTGTCTCAGAGGGGGGGGGGGGGGGGCGACATCATAGAGGCTGTGAAGTATTCGAAGCGGCCTAGGTTCCGCGTGGGTTCTGCGGGGGCCCGCAAGCAGGCTGCCGCTCTTGTTGAGGGGGCCCACGGCGTTCAACGCGCCGCTGAGCAGCGAGAGGAAACTGCCGAGCTGGGGGCCGCTCTGGCTGGGGCTGGGGGCCTCGGCGGCGAGACGGGGTGTCACTTGTTCTTGAGTGCGTGCCCGTTTTTGAGACTCGATCGACGCTGTGGCGCCTCCGACATCAGCTTCGTGACGCTCGATGGCGGGGTCGGTGGCTTCTTTTCTAGCCCGATGCCATATTTGAAATTTTGTCTCTTTCGAAGGGGCGGAGGGCGGCGCCCGGCGTGCTCGAGGCGGTGCGAGCCTCTGCCGCCGCCCTGCCGGCGTCGGGCTGCGCGGCTGCGGTTCGCGGGATGCCGCGGCGGCGCGGGCGCCTGCGCGGGGCTGGCGGGCCGCTGCAGCCAGTGGGAGTCAGGCCGCGTGTCCGGGCGCTGTGCAGGGCCATGCAGGACCTCCTCGCGGGCTGGGCGCAGGAGGTCCTCTGCCTTCGCCTCGGCGAGTCTGTGGACATGGGGGCCTGCCAGCCGGTGTTGCCGCTGCCCCGAGGCCGCCCGTGCCGTCGACGCTGGGCGTCAGTGCTGCGTCCGACGGAGCTGGGGCGGCCGTCCAAGACGATTCGTTCGCGGGGGCGACTCGCGGATCCTCGACCTCGGCGGGCGCCAGTTCTTCGCGCCCGTGCTGGCCTGGCCTCGCGGGCCCGAGCCCAGGTCCGACGAGTGGGCAGCGCGGTCACCGCGACATGTTGCATCTGGCCGTCGTGGAATGAAGGGTCTCAGGAGGTATATATGTGTATATACATGTGCATATTGAAATCTTCATGTGCACATGTGTATACATATACACATATTGCATATACATGTATATGGGAATGCAGGTCTTTTATATGTATGTGCACATATGTAGGTATGTAGGTATGTATGCGTGCATGTATGTATGTCTATAGGTATGTATGTATGCATGCATGCATGCATGTACGCATGTATGTGTGTATGTATGTATGTATGTATGTATGCATGCATGCATGCATGCATGCATGCATGTATGTATGTATGTATGTATGTATGTATGGATGTATGTATGTATGTATGTATATATATATCTATGTATACATGTGTATGTCTGTCTGTCTGTCTGTCTGTCTGTCTGTCTGTCTGTCTGTCTGTCTGTCTGTATGTATGTATGTATGTATGTATGTATGTATGTATGTATGTATGTGTGTGTAGGTAGGTAGGTAGGTAGGTAGGCAGGCAGGCAGGCAGGCAGGCAGGCAGGCAGGCAGGCATGTATGTATGTATGTATGTATGCATGTATGTATGTATGTATGTATGTATGCATGTATGTATGTATGTATACATGTATGCATGTATGCAATGTATGTATGTATGTATGTATGTATGTATGTATGTATGTATGCATGCATGCATGCATGCATGCATGCATGCATGCATGCATGCATGTATGTATGTATGTATGTATGTATGTGTGTATATGCATGTATGTACGTACGTACTTATGTATGTATGTCTGTCCGTCCGTCTGTCTGTATGTATGTATGTCTGTCTGTCTGTCTGTCTGTCTGTCTGTATGTATGTATGTATGTATGTATGTATGTATGTATGTATGTATGTATGTATGTATGTACACGTGTGTGTGTGTGTGCGTGTGTGTGTGTGTGTGTGTGTGTGTGGCACGGCCTTTCGCGTGCGGTCGCGCGAACTGCGCGTGATGTGAATATCTCGAAGGCACTGCGACCACAACCGCCCCCTGTCTTTTGGAAGCGCCCATGCGGCAACACGTTGGGGCGAACGCCCGCGGGGGCTCTTAGGAAATTCCAGTGACACCCTGGGCCAAGGATACTTCTAACAACACCCGAATGGAGCGTTTAGAAGCGAAACGAAGCGTAGCGCTCTGATCCGCGGGAGCGGGAACCTTGAAGGTCAGCGCGGGGAGACTAGGGCCTTCGCACCGTGGTGTCGGCGTTCGCCAGGCTCGAAGAAGGTCGCAACAAAAACCGTCGCATGTTTGAACCATTGTTCTTCTAACCTGTGCCACAAGTAATCGTCGCTGGCGAGATCTAGCCACCACTGGCAGTCAGGGTCGTTGGGTGCTCTTGTGATGTTGCCCACCAGTTGTTCAGACATCAAGAATCTGCCGACGCCACGGTCCTTTTTTTTCCGTTTCCTTCTGGGTTTTCGTTGGGCGGGCCTGAGGCCACCTGCTCATTCTTCGTGGCAAAAGTTCTCTACGCCCGATGCCTTCTTCCCGCATTATTCTTCCCCGGCCGCCTTCCTCTTTCTTGAATAGCGTTTGTGTGCCCTAGTGCTGGCGCGGCCCGCTGGCTTTTCGAACCCGTTCGCGTCCGCCCTCGCCCCTGTCAAACAAGTGTTTTCCTTGAGCGGGGCGCTTGTCACGTCAGGAAGAGTTGGAGGGCGCCGCGGGCGCAGGGACGCGCACGAGGCTCCCCCTCTCGCAGAGGAGTGGCCTGGATCACCGCCACGGAAAAGCCCATCGCTAGGCCGGGCCGGCCCGTGGGCGGTGGCACGCCCGAGCGTCACCCGGCACAGGACGACGCTCGGCCGTCACCGCCCAGGGGCTCACCCCCTCTCCGCGGCAGGAGGAGGAGGAGGAGGAGGAGGAGGAGGAGGAGGAGGAGGAGGAGGAGGAGGAGGAGGAGGAGGAGGAGGAGGAGGAGGAGGACGAGGGCCCCCCTCCGCTGGGCCTCTCCCCCGGCCCCCTCCGCGGCAGGCGAGGCGTCCGCCGCCCTGCCCCGCCGGCTCTCCGACGCCATCCCAGCTGCGCCAGCGCGGCGGGCCCCGCCAGAACCCCGTGGCCGTGAGCGGCGCCGCCGTCGGCGGCCGTCGGCGGCCCCGTCGGCCGCCCGTCGGCGGCCGTTCGTCGGGCGGCCCTGCGGCGGCGGCTCTGCGGCGGCCTGGCGGCGGCCCTTCGTCGTCGGCCTGTGGGCGGCCCTGCGGTGACCCGTCGGCGTCCGGAGGGCGGTGGGGCCGCGCACGGGGGCCCCGGGTGGCCCGTCTGGGTTAGGCTTGTGAGGCTCCAGCCTGCTTTCGCCTTGCTCACCAGGAAGAGTTTCGAGCGCCCAAGCAAGTACCGAGACTCAAGGGTTTCCACGTGTCGGGCCCTGGGAGATTCGCCCGACACTGTTTCGACACTGTTTCGACACTGTTTCGACACTCTTTTGACACTTTTCCGGGTGCTCGAAATTATTTCTTGGATGTAGTCCTTAAGTAGGATGGGAACAACATAAGGTTAGGCAAGAGTCGGCGGCGAGCGAGGGGGGCAGTGAGCAGGAGTAGGCCTTCTCAGAAGGCGGCGGGAGTTCTCTAGGCCTCCTGGATCGGGTCGGAGAAGAGGGGTCAGAGGATCGCGCCGGCGGTGCGGCAAGATCCTCCGACCTCATCTACTCGGACCCCATCTGGGAGGCCTCTAGAGAGGGAGTAGGCCTTCCCAGAAGGCGGCTGGACTTCTCAGAAGCCCTTGCGCCTCCTGAGAAGTTTTTTTGTATCTGCGGGGAAGGCTTGGGAAGTTTCTCAGAAGGCCAGGGGACTTCCGAGCCTTCTGGGAAGGCCCGCCACTTTTTACCTGCCCCCCGTGCTTGACTCCGAAGGGACTTGTCAGAGGAGGAACATGTACCCATGCCGCTACCCTTGCCTCGTTTTCCTCTTGGGGCATCCTGGGAGGCCCTCGTCGCCATCAATGGATCCGCCTCGCGATCGCACCGGTGTCCTTGTTTGGGAGGGTTGCGAGATCTGTCGCGTACGTCGGCCCCGCCGCCAGGCGCTTCGGGAGTCGCCAGAATCAGCAGCTGCGTGGGCTGATTCGCTACCCCCCCGTGTCGAACGAGCCGACCTGTGCAGTTGTTTTCGTCTTTAGGACGGAGACAGTTCGAGGATAGAAGCGGCCACAGCGCTTAAGGAAGCCTTTAAGCATTCGAATCTTCCTCCCTCACTCTCCTCTCTTCATGCCTACCTTGAGGAGGGTGTTGGTGGAGGAGAAGGGCGAGGATGAGGAGGGGGGGGAGGGATGCAGGTAGGGAGGGAAGGAGGTAGCAGGAGGAGGAGGAGGAGGAGGAGGAGGAGGAGGAGGTGGGAGGGAGGAGAAGGAGAACTAGAGTGAGCCCAAGATCCACCTCCGATTCTGCAAGACACCCTCCCGCTTTGTTTCTCGATGGCACGCCGCGGAGGGAGGTGAGAGTGCCAGGCCTACTTAACGGCGGCAGGGCTTCTCAGAAGTCTTCAGACCCTCTGAGAGGCCATCTCTGTGGCTTCGGCTGGAGGTCAAGAAAGCTTCTCAGAATGCCAGAGGCCTCTTGATCCTTTGGGAAGGCCCGTCCCCTTTGCCTTCTTCTCACCGCTTGCCGCCGAGTTTTTTGTTGAGGGCACTTTTGCATCCCCTGGCGATAACGGGCGTGACCCAGGGGCGAGGGGGTGGGAGGAGGCCGGTAACGTCGCGATTCACGCTGGCGCCGTTCGGGACTGCCTAGCAATGGCTAATTTCCAGACGGCGACTGCGAATCGTCACGTCAGACTGGAGTGGGGGGCGGAGCCGGTAACGAGCGGGGAGCTGGATATGAGTACGGTCGTCGCTCGTGACACCCATGGCAAGCCTCCCCTATCTGTGCCCTCTCCCGCGCCCTCGTCATTCGTCTGTCGTCCGTTGTCTACGCCGTCGTGTCGTGTCGTCCCTCGCTCTGCCATCGTCGACGTGTCGTGTCCGTCGTTGTGTCCGTCGTCTCGTCCGTCCTCCGAGGTCTCGCTCGTCGTCGTGTCGTGTCCGTCGTCGTGTCCGCGTCGTGCCGTATCTGTCACCCGCCATCTCCTCCGTCGTTTCGTGCCCGTCGTCTCCGTGGTTTGCCGGTGGGCTCTTCCCCTTCAGCAAGAGCAGATTGTCCTCGGCGTCGTTGCGCTGGGGCGCGGAGGAGGAGGAGGAGGAGGAGGCGGAGGCGGAGGAGGAGGAGGAGGCGGAGGAGGAGGAGGCGGAGGAGGCGGAGGCGGAGGAGGAGGAGGAGGCGGAGGAGGAGGAGGCGGAGGAGGATGAGGAGGAGAGGAGGCGGAGGAGGAGGAGGCGGAGGATTTTTTAAACATCGACGCACCATTGAAGGCCTCCCAGAGAGGATCAGACGCCCGCCTGCTAGGATGAGAAGCAAGGGGCCTCAGTAGAAGACTGCTACTGTGCTCCATGACGAACATCACGACACGGCACAGTCTAGCGGCTATATACAACGGGGGTGCCGCCCCAACCCCGGCCGAGAACGAGGAGACTAAGGGCAGGCCGAAGACGACCATCGGCTCGGGTACGCAGCCAGCAGCACCTCGTCGGGCGTGGAGTCGGGGAGGCCCAGGGTGCGCGCCAGCAGGCGGCGCTCCACGGCGGTGATGACGACTGCCTCCGCTGCCCCCGCCGCCGCAGCGTCAGGACCAGCTCCAGCAGCTTCCATCTCCATGGGCACGACGTCGGGGCTCGGCCGCACCGCGGCCTGCCGCACGACGCCGTCGGCCCACTCGTCGTCGTCCACGTCCGTCTCGACCGCAGCAGCCTCCGCCGCGGCCGCGGGCCGAGGGCCCGCGTCCGCCGCTCTTTCGACAGCAGCGCCAGCTCCTCCATCAGCAGCAGGCGGAGCAGCGCGCCCCGCAGCGCGCGCCTCCGCCACACGGCGGCGAAGTCGCGGCCAGGCGACGCGTCGGGCGGCGCCGAGGCGGCGAAAATCACCGCCGACACCGCCGACCACGTCACGGCAGCGACCGTGCGCCGCGGCGCTTGGGCGAGCACCGCGGCACGGACAGCAGCAGCCACCACAGCAGCGCCATTCGCGACTGAGAGAGCCCCTCTAGCGAGGCGCGAGGCGTCCATCCCGAAAACGGCCGACCGAGCGCCAGGCATGCAACCGCTTGAGCCAAAATGGAGGAGGCGGAGGAGGAGGAGGAGGCGGAGGAGGAGGAGGAGCAGATGGTCTTCGGCGTCGTTGCGCTGGGGCGCCCGCCCCCGCTCGCGGGCGGGAGAGCGGGCCGGCGGCTCGCGGGCGGCGCGCTGCGGGTGCTGGTGTGCGCCTACCTGCCCCGGGCTCGGCGGGCTCCTTTTGGGGGGCCGGCGACGTCCCAAAGGTCCTTCGGGCCGGACGAAGGGGGGGGGGATTGAGAAAGGGGGGGTTACGAAATTTGCTGCATGCAGCTGGTTTCGGCCTCGCCGAGGGGCCCATTCCTCGATACATCGCCGCCTCCGTCGCCGGGAGGCGCTGGGAAAAACAGCTACGTGAGCTGATTCTCACCCTCCCCCTTTGCTATCCCCCCCTTTCGCCCGACGCGATCAGAGGGCTCGAGGGGGGCCGGCGACTTCCCAGAGGTCCTCGAGGACGAAGGAACCCCTGACCGCAATTAGGGGAACGAGAAATTACATAAACATTACAACTCGGAGGTCCGCGCGGATTTCTCGGATCCGCGCTGGACCCGGGGCGGCGCCGGAGGCGCCGCCGGGGGGCCCCAGCGCCGATCCGAGAAATCCGCGCGACCTCCGAGTTTTTATATTTATGTCACTTTTCATTCCCCTACTAATGGCATGGTGAAGACGTGGCCTCACTTAGGTCCCCGCCCTCGCAGCATGGATTATACATCTGGGTGTTTATTTTTCAGATGCATGTGCAGAAAAGACACCCTATCCCTAATTTGTTTGGTTCTCCAAACTTTGGTCCCCTCCCAAGGAGTCATAGGTATTTTGTCGCTTATCAACAGGGGGTCCGAGTAAATGGTGTCGTCTGATCGCTCCGCATCGCCGATTCATCGTCGATGCGGCTCGATGTGGAGCCCGAATTTCTCCACGTCGGCGTCGCCTGGGCATCGCCGACGCGAAGGCGACGCGGCGCGATCCTCCGACCCCATCTTTGAGGACCCTATTTGGGAGGTCTCCTATCGGGTATGGCCAGGACCCCTGGTAAGGGGACCCGGTTAGTGGTAGGGCCCCGGAGCCCCTGAATTGGCCAGAATCACTTAACCAGGTTTGCCGTAGCTGGTGCTTGTTCGGGTGACGGCAGTTCCGGTTAGTGGAACGGGGCGGGGGGGGGGCGTCCCCCAGTACACATCACTACACCAGGTTCCCTTAAACCCAGCTCTGCCAACGCCGGATCCTGGTGCGGTTGCGCCAGGCTGTGGTTTGCGATCGGCGCCGTTGGGGCCGAGGGATCACCACGTTGCGCCACCTGTTCGATTAGCCCCCGTCGGGGCGCGGCAGGGATCTCCCTCGAGGCCCTCGCTCGCCTCCCCAGGCGCGGTTTGCAGACCACACCCCTGTGCACACCACGCCCCTGTGCACACCACACGCGGGGGGGGGGGGGGCGGGACGTCAGGGGTCAACTTTGGTTTTGTTTTTTGGTGCGTTTTCGTTTGCTCGAGGCGGATTTCCAGCCCCAGGGGCCCCAGGGGCGGGTTCCAGCGGTTGCGGCCAGCCTCGGGGTGCGTTCCAGCGGTTGCGCCTCGCGGAGGACGCTCAAGGGGTGCAGAGATCGCCCCGAACGGCCGCTGGAGCCCCGCTGTTTGACCGAACAGCAGGCCTCGGGGGGGGACAACCTCGGGGGGGGGGGGGACAGGCTCCGGGGGCACGCATCGGCCCCCGATCGCCCACTCATCGCCGACGGATGCGATCCTCCTCCAGAGTCAAGCGCATGTTGTCTCCAGCTCTCCCTCGCCCGGGCGCGCGCAGCGCAGTCCGCGTGGGCAGCAAAAATACTGCAGTCGCCAGTT